AAACCGGGGTTAATGGAATTACACTAAACTTAGGGTTTATCGATCCCAATTCGATTTGTGATAATAGCAAAGGATAATGCAGTCTTTGGATAACCCCAAATTACCCGTATGTTTAGGGATTAGTAATTTCGTCAACCTCGGTTTAGTGATTCCGTCAATCCGATTAAACGGTTTATTTGATTCGACAATTTTTATATACTTAATGTATTAATAGACCAAAATTTAATAAACCATGCATTTTATTTCCAACCAAATAACATTGGGTATTAAACTTCCAAATTAAAATTAGATGGGGAATTTTTATGGAATTTTCCCATCCCGAATATAAATTGAATAAGTAATATATCTTTTCACATATGGAGAGACAGCAAAAAAATTACCAATTTGCAGATATGCCCTTTGACCCAACAGAATCACTATTTTGACTATTTATTTATTATTTATCCACAATGTTCGATTCACACTAAAGAGAGGTAAATCTACTTTTTTCTACTGAACTTCTTCTTCTCCGTTACTTCTGAGAGCAAAATGTCTGGCGGCGACTCGACGACGGCGACGGACATGGAGATCGCCGGTGACAAAATCGATTCGAAGGACGTTGAAGCAACAACAACAACAGAAGATATCGAATCCCAGATTCTCGCGGCTATGAAGTCCCGAGCAGCCTACTTCAGAGACAAAGCAGAGTAAGGAATCGTTGCTTCATTTTTTCTTTCTCGTTGCTTCGATTTCATCGGAAATACCTAACAGTTGTGAATTTGCTGAACTATGGTTAAGAAAGGAAATGAGAATCTAGGTGTGTTTGTTCGAGGTAGCATTGAGTTTTGTGGTAGACTAGGTTTGTATAAGAGTTGGATTTTGTGATGATTTAGAGTTGGATTTTGGGTGAGAAACTAGGCTTTTGTGGTCAGTGATGTTTGTTAAATTTGGTGATATATGGTTGAAATGAAGAAATGATGATTCTAGGTTTTTAAAACTGCGATGTTTGAGTAGCATTCAGTGTTGGTGGTAGGCTAGATTTGTATAAGATAGGGTTTGTGATGATTTAGAGTTGGATTTTGGTGAGAAAATAGGGTTTTGTGGTCAGTGATGTTTGTTAAATTTGGTGATATATGGTTGAAATGAAGAAATGATGATTCTAGGTTTGTAAATTTGCGATGATTGAGTAGCTTTTAGTGTTTGTGGTAGGCTAGGTTTGTATGAGATGGGTTTTGGTGAGGAGGTAGAGTTGGATTTTATGGAGAAACAAGGTTTTTATGGTCAGAGTGATGTTTGTTAAATTTTGGTTGAGACGATGAAATGATGATTCTAGGTTTGTAAATTGAGATGTTCAAGTAGCATTCACTGTTTATGGTAGGCTAATTATGTATAAGATTGGTTTCGTGAGGATGTAGAGTTGGATTTTGTGGAGAAATTGGTTTGGTGATGTGTAGAGTTGGATTTTGTGGGGAAACTAAAACTTTATTGTTCGGAAACATTGATTTGGTGATAGCTGAGTTGAAATGAAGAAATGGAAATTTAGCTTTGTATAAGATTTTGATTTTGAGGTTTCGTTTAGTATCTGAGACTAAGATTTGCATATAAAGGAAGGGCTAAAGATTGATGATATCTCCTATTTATGGTATAAAGGGGTTCTGTTAATTTTTTCGAGAAAGATTTTTTGAAGCAGAAGAATCATCTGGAATTTCTTTTTGCAGCAACTTAACCTGTGGGGGTGTGCGGAGGTTGCTGGAGGAGGATCTGAAATTGGAGAAACATGCTTTGGATGTGCATAAGGACTTTGTTAAACAACAATTAGTTCAGGTATCCTTTTCATAGTTAAGGCCAAGCTTTGCATGAAATAGAGAAAAGATGTTATTACTTGCAGCTGACTAATTATGTTTTGATATGTTTTCTTGGTGATAACAGTGCCTAGAAGGTGCTGAGAATGATGAAACTACAGAAAATTCTCAAGAACCTGAGAAGAAAGATGATGTAACTCCAGCAAAAGAGGCAGAAACGTTATCAAAAGAGCACAACGTGAAAAAAGATGTCAAGGAAGATAGAACTGGTGATGATGACAAAGCAGAAGATTCACCTGTAATGGGACTTCTGACAGAGGATAACACGTCCAAATCTGTAGCTGAGCAAACAAACGATGAGGACAGCAAAGAGGTCCTTCAGAGTGACATAAAGAAAGCCCTTCGTAAAAGGTCTTCTTATATTAACGCTAATTCTGAGTAAGTCAAATCCGTCTTCTTTTCTAAAGTCCTTCCTCAGATGCCATATTTTAAACATTAGGAAACATCTTTCGATATCTCAGTTTGCTGTCATCAATGATTTTGGAAATAAATTTTTCTTTGTTAAATAATGCTTGCTTTGTTTCAGGAAAATTACAATGGGTATACTTCGTCGACTTTTGGAGCAAGATCTTAAATTAGAAAAGTATTCTCTTGACCCCTATAAGAAATTCATTAATGAAGGATTAGATGAAGTAAGTAAATATAATTTACTATGTTTCTTGTTATAAATGAGAGATACAATCTTCTTAGAACTTTTATTGCCCATTAGGTACTGCAAGTGCAAGCTCTTAAAACTACAAAACCTACAACTAAGACTAAGCCTCTGACGAAAGCTGCAGCTAAGAAGGTCCAGAGCAAACCAGCTAAAAAGTCAGACAGTGAAGAAATGTCTGATTCAGATGGTGAAGACGAGGATGAGGACATGGAAGTAGCTGTAAAAAAGAAGACCGCTGTCAAAAGAAAATTATCGAAGTCAGAGATAACCGGAAAGAGGAAACGTGAAAAGGAGAAACTTCCATCTGTGAAGAAGACAAAACAAACAGATTCACAGAGCGACAGTGATGAAGGAGAAAAAGCATCTTCAGAAAAATCTGTGAAGGTATAGCAGCTTTGTTGTAGTACCTATCTAGAATCCTATTAAAACAGTGCATAATTAACATCGTTTGGTTTCTGTTCGTCTAATATTTTATAACTACAGAAACAGGAAACTCCGACAACTGGCTACGGGAGGCGTGTTGAGCATCTTAAATCAATCATCAAATCTTGTGGAATGAGGTTTTTAATCACGCCTGGTAGATCTTTAAAATCTGTGTTAGTTCATACTCCAGGATTTTTGATTTTTTTTCTTTCTTGCTAGCATTGCTCCATCGGTTTACCGGAAAGCCAAGCAGGCTCCTGAGGAGAAACGCGAGGATACTCTGGTAAAAGAACTTAAGGAGATACTCGCCAAAGAAGGCTTGTCTGCAAATCCTTCAGAGAAAGGTAATGGTTCACACTTACGAAGTTTCCTCTACCTTTAGGAAAGCGCAAACACCTTCGAGATATTCTGGGGTGAAACCATACAAATTATTAACAATGTATCTGTTTTTAACTTGTGACAGAGATCAAGGAAGTCAAAAAAAGGAAAGAAAGAACAAAGGAGCTTGAGGGTATTGACACAAGCAACATTGTGTCGAGTTCAAGGAGAAGATCAACTACAAGTTTCGTACCGCCTCCAAAGCTGATAAAAGCAGAAGAAAGCGAGAGCGATGAATCAGAAAATGAAGAGGATGAGGAAGAAGAAGATGAAGAAGTAGTAGTAGAAGAAGAAGATGAAGAAGAAGAAGAAGAAGAAGAAGAGGACGCAGAAGAAGACGAGGGAGCTAATGTAGATGACGGAGAGGGAAGTCAAAACGAAGAAGAACCAAAGACTGGTGCGAATCCTTTTATCTCTTACATCACATTTCATCAGAACATATCTTATAGAACTAATATGATATTTTGGTCTGGTTGCAGAGGACGGTGGTGAAATGGAAAGCGAATAATCATATGATCAGTCGCGGGAACAATGTAGCTTAATTTCTCTATGTGCTGTTGTAGAGTAGTGAGTTATGTTTTGTACTTTTAAAAGTGGTAATCATTATCATGACATTAGGATATGAATTTTAAGACTTTGCACTATAAATCTGGACTAGGTTTCGAGTTAAAACTTAGATTCGAGACGATATGTTTTGGCTTGTGTTCTACTAAATCACATTTTGTTCCAACACATCTATCTGCAATAGTTTATCGTGGAGGCTCGAGGCTCGAAATCAATCATCCGAACCGACCCGAACCCAAACTGAGAATCCGAAATACATAGTACAAGAGCTACTCGAAACTCGAAATATCCGAACTGATACCTGAATGAACTGTTACCCGAATGCTCAAGACTAATCTTATCATAAGGCTTTTCTTATACGATAGTTGAGTACTCGATCAATACAAGATACACTATAGTTTAACATTAGCTAAACTTGAGCAATCACAATGAGATACACTACTAACCAAATTAAAATTTCTTCCATTTACGTGATATCCCCACAATTACAGAAAATATACAACATTGTTTTTATATATATACTTGAATCTTAACAATTTAACACAAAGACAACTTGAAAATGTAAAAACAACATAAAACAAAACAAGTAATAAAGATAAAACAAGTTTCCCTTCTTGGAAACTTGGTCTTCAAAAATTGAGAGAGCATTGTCTTTTTTTTGGTTTAGTTAATGTTATTAGCCACCACACCTTTGTCTACTGCAATGGGAATACCACCAGTACCTTCTGCTGTTTTTGTTGATATATTGGTGATTGGCAGCTCCTGCAATCCTACTTTCTCCTCAACCGGTATCACTTCGTCTTTCGCTTTTCCCCACACGACGCTGTATAGTCCGAACACGATGAAAATCGCGCCTATTATACTGCATATACAAAAAATTAAACAACTCATTAGTTTACATATGGTTTGTACTAATGTACTCGTTGTCGTGCGAATCGTAAATGTCAAAAGATTTTACCTTCCGAGATGAATCTTTTCAGCCAAAACTAGCACGCCAAGGAAGGCTGTAATGATCATACACATAGGACTAAACGAAGTCGTAAAAACCGGGCCTCGTTCCCTAATCACAATGCTTTGTATGTAATACGCCATACCCGAACAAACCACTCCCTGATATTTAATCATTCAATTACCATATAAACATTAATATTTACTTGAATGAAATTATATACAATCAAAGATCTTTAAGTACCAATAAATGAAAACTTACCGAGTAAACAGCCGCGAGCGTGCCCGAGTCCATACCGATCTTCCAAGCGCTCAAGTCGCGAACCATCACGACCGAAGCAATCGTGTTCAATATCGTTCCCATGCCACAAATCCACATAACCAATGACAGTTCCGCCGGATATTTCTTCAACGTGAATGACTGAACAAATTAACAATGTCATTAAAAATTAATACACACCATTCCCTTTGTTAATACCATGTAAAATCTTATACTTATGTATAGCTTTAACCAATATATATGGTGTGTTACATATACTAATCCAAATCTTAATGTAAGTGACTAATGCTTTGCTTACTTGTAAAATGAAGAAACCTGCCCAACTAGTGATACTACCCATAATGGCTAAGGTTCCAGTGACCCAGTTCTGGTCAGTTGTCTCGGAGGAGCTAGTGGAGGAGCCACCGTGAAAAGAGGTATGAGCACTCTTAAAGAGCTCAATGGCTGGACCTTTGTACAAAGTCATCACCATAGCTCCTAATAAAGTGATTACTGTTCCGACCACCTTTGCAAGACTTCGTACTTTCTTCAAATTTACAGTTTCTAACCTGATTATATTAAAATAAAATTAGAAAAATTAGAAGAAGAAAAACTATATATTATCTATATATACATTTCTGAAGTACATTTTGTACTAAAATCATTTTTGTAACTAATTTTCCGAAAAACCAATATCTCAAACACTATTTTTTCATATCATTAAGGTTAATCCAGTAAATATGTATTTTGGATCGGTTCAAAATTAAAATTTACAACCCGGTATCACAAATCGGATCCTTATTAATTATTATATTAATCAAAATTAAAAACAATATTATTATATACTGAAAATATGGTAATATTCCGGTTATTACCAAAAAATTATAAACCAATGCGGTTTTGATTACGGATTTTTTGATATCTCTATAAAAAAAATGGATCCGTAGTGTACCGCAGATTACGCAAATTTAATTACCTGAAAATGACAGCCATTATGAAGGTAATAGCTGGAAGTGCATTAACAAAGGCAGAACTGTATGTAGCTGATGTGGCTTTCATTCCTATGTAGTACAAGTTCTGGTCCATGAGTGGTCTGAATAGACAAAGCAATAACAATTACAAAGTTATTATTATTATCTAATCATATGCTTTAATTTCGTATCATCTTCTGATTAACCAATCATATTCTAGATTTTTCACAATCATTCTTTTTAAAAAGATAATAAAGGAAACATATATAGAGCTAATGAGAAGACAGCAATGAGTGTGATGATCTCATCAAGATTCAAGAATCTTCACGAGTAGAATCTTTTTTTTCGTATAGATTCATTCGACCAAATATTATATTGTTTTACACCTCATTTATATGGAAAAAGTTGTGTTTATTAAAAATATTGAATGTTTTTTTAATATATAAGAATTTGTTGATTAATAGGTTTTTAAAAACTTGCATATATATATATATATATATATACCTCGTGCAAAAAAACTATATATATCAACTATATATATGTTATCCTCTTGGGTTTTCTTTTGCAAATCTTGACACAAAAATTATATATTTCGATTTGGTATATTGATAAAATATGTATTTTTAGTGTTTTTTTTATTAATCAAGATTCATTGATTAAGAAATATAATACGTGAGATATCTCCAATATTTTACAAAAAGTACTCTAATTTAATACATGACGCATATTGTAACATGAAAATAAATAAAACGTCACATTTTTTTTTCCATTCGCCTAAATTAGGCCTTGAGAAGCCTATATATGTATATGTAGTATATATAAATTAAATAAAAATTCTTTTAAATATTATATATTTGTGTGTGTGTGTTATGTGTGCGTATAATATATAGATGCATCATCCATGCATATATACTAATATGTATCATGCACATGAAAAAGGAAGATAAGGTTTATGTATATATGAAAGCTTACTCTAAGATTCCAAGAGCAAGAATCCTAAAGAACATTGGCCATGTCATCTTAGGCCTTATTTTCCTGAAAAAGTATGCAACAAATTAGTATTTATACATGCATGGCTTTAGAGTTTAGATATAAGAACCAAACCAAACCAAATAAAGCATACAACATCATCATCATCATCATCATCAAGAAACATATACATACCTTTCAAGAACGAGAGCAAAAGGAGCAATGACAATGGTGGCAACAACGTGACGGTATGTAGCAAGGATCCAATGGTTCATACCATGCTTTAAGGAGACCATAGTGATGATGTACATGCCTGCATATCCGAATTGAAGTGATATGATTGCTATTATTGGCTTCAATTTATCAATTTTTCCACATTGTTTCTCTCCTCCCTTCATACTTTTTTTTGCTCTTGTATATATTATATGATTCTATATATATGTATATATATATATAACTCTCTAGATATGAGATGTTTCGTGAATGATGAAGAGACACTTGTTTGATGAGAATACAAAAACCAAATGGGAAATGATCCTTCTTATAGTCCATAAAAAGTTGTATTTTTAAAAGATAAAATACAATTTTTATTTTGTTGGTTCAATAATACGTCTACGTATCTTCTCGAATATTATAATGCAAAGATATGAGTAACAAAAAACAAAGTGCATTATCAAAAAAAAAAAAAAAGGTATATTGGAAAATTTTATTTCTTTCTTTCTTTCCTAAGGAAAATGTGCAAAATAGAAGGACTAATAACTTTTAGATTATGTGCATTATTGAATGATTATATATTTTTAGAAAACAATGAAAGAATTTTAAATAAAATTTTGTTTATCGTGTATTTTATTTCAATTGATGATACATTATCTTACATATTATCAATTTATTTATTTATGAAATAGATACCAATAAACATGATATCGTCTTATCCTATGAGCAAAGTTAAAGTTTTATATAGCTCTTATTTTTATTTTTAAACTACATAAACCAATGTTTGGCACAAATAATCCTTCATAGTTGGGTAACATAGGAATTTAATATAATTTCATAACAAGAAAACATGTAATTTTCATGATAAAAACGTTCAATTAATATTCATCGCACATTTCACGTATATTTGCTAAATTTTCTTTCATCGTATAATCATGACAGCGGCGCTCTAGTGAAATTAGAAAGAAGTGTTATTTGATATATTGATCTTAAATTCTATTTAATGTTAGTTTATTTAATGTTGTGATTGCTTTTATAAGAATGTCTTTTAAAATTTAATAGAAAACTCCCTAAAACTGTGAAGAATGAAATCTGAACATGTCATTTTAGACAAATCACTTAACCATTTGGCACTTCATTTAGGCAAATCGCTTAAAACTAAATACATGATTTAATTTTTAGGTCTTTCAATTTGCATATATCTTTATTGATATGTTCATGAAGAAAAGCATGAGTAATGAGTTGGTGGTATGTGAAGAACTGAAGTGGGACTGAATTAACGTTGTAATTAAAGAAGCACCATGTGTGATCATTTGTGTGTTTGTTATATTTTTATGAATTAGGGTTCTTATATTCACCATCGTTAATCAATTAGCAAGAAGAGAGAGAGAGGGTTAATCGATAGAGTATTTACCTTCATACTTTATCAATAGTGCAGTTAGCAGGGAGCGAACACGCGACCTTCAGATAAACTTTATACAAAGTGCATCAATAAATATATGAGATAACGTAGTCTTCTCGCTAGGTAAGTGGGCAAAGTAATTTTCGATATAGGAAACTTGCCAATGAGTGTTATATGAGTTTTATAGTAAATTGTATAATTTGATTCGCCAAATTAGACGTCTATCCAACCATTGACCATAATCAATGCTAGATATCGTCGCTTTAATTTTAATGTACAAATATCTTAAAAGGATCGGAGACAAAAAAATTTTAATTATGATAAACATTTTTCTTGTGTTTCAACTTCTAAAAGACAAAGATAAAAAAGCACATCAATACATTAACTTCATTTTTTTTTGGTACGACATACCCTTCAAATTATTGTTTTAAAGTTGTACATTCCCAGTTCAAATGTGAAAAAACTGACTGAAAGATGATTAAGTATGTGGTTATAACTTGGTCTTGTTCATTTATCTGTCGCTGGCGACAATGACCAGACCTGTTTATTTGTTTGTCGCTGGATTTAGAGATCATCGATCATAAGTTTTAGTCGCAAACATTTTCAACAATCAATCTTTATAAGTTTAAGAGTATTTTTTCGCGAGTTTCCATGATTCCTACCATAAGATAATATTTTGGTATGCTTAAGACTTAAGTTACGAATTTCAACTTGCTTTTATGACATTTCTTTTTTTGAATAAGAATTTGTAACTCTAATCAGAACTCTACTATCATTATCCTTAGATGCCATTGCCATTTTCACCTAAAAATGTTGTCACCGTTTCCACTCTTAAATGTCAATGTTTGAGGTTAGAAAGTAGGTTAATTTATGTGGGCATCAAATCTACACATATTGCTATAACAAAAACTAACCATAAATACGATATCTTATGCTGTAATCTTTTATAGTTGATTATAACTAATTAGATCCTATTTACTGCTATTTTTATATCTTTTACATCCTTTTTCCCATTGGATATAAAGTTTATTCTTTTTTCTGTAAACTTAATTAATACTTTTTGGTTCTAATTCAACTAAGAGATAATACCCTTATCCATTAGTGATCAAATACCAAGACCTATAAATATAATACTAACATATTTCGAATCAGATTCATCTTTCCTCAATATGCTTGCTAGATTGAAGTGGTGTGATTAAAGTGTGTTTAAATGATATGTATACATATTTGAAAGGAAAAGAAAAAAAAAAGAAATCTTAAAATAACAAAACCCAAATGAAAAAAAGAAAGAAATGGATAATTCAAGTGGACCTCTTGGCAATGAATAATGCATTATCCTGCACATTTAAGTTTATTTATTCAAGTGTTGTGTGTTTTGTTGGTTTCCTATTTATAAAAATTTTCATTTTAGAAGTTGGGTTTTCTCCCTTATTGACCACCAAGTATTGTCTTGTCTTAGTGCTCCAACGTGACGCAATTAGTTCCACTTAATCTAGCACTAAGCTTAAGTGAAGATAATAACCAAGATTTTTATTGGATGGCATAGAATATATATGTTTCTGCTACAATTAGCCAAAGGAATCTGGCTTTAATTAGATCCTTTAAAAACATCTCTTTATGAAGCAACTTCGATTCATAATTTTCCCAAGATATGATTTTAAAGTTTTTCATCAAGTATCTAAAAAGATATTATTATTTATATATACTACAAGAAAACATGACGATTTCTAACTATCATTTCCAACAAAAACGGTGATATAAATATTTTCCGACTAATTCAGTTGTCAGAATTTACTATATTTTCTTGTCGTAATTCCGATATATAATATACTTTCTACATGTTTCAATCTTTTTTTTTAATGTTTTATGTAGCAATATATTTGTAAAGATCGAACCTTCTTCGAGAATGTACGTGAAAATCATTTATGGGATATATCTAGAACTTGTTTGGTATCACAAACCTTATTTATTTTAACTGCTGTTCCATAAGACATCCACTGAACCGAACACGAATTTTAATATATATTCCCATGTCTCATCCAATAATGTTCTTCAAGACATTATTCATCTAGTTCTTATCACAAACAAAACACAAGAATTTTCAAAAAAATGGTGTAGTTGTTAAGACTTCACCAAGAATATTTGTTGTACTGTTAAGTTAAAATGTTGATCCACAACAATGGTTAGTGAACACAAAGCTTTAACATTAAACACTCTTTTGAATGTTGTGTCTATGTTGCCTTTAGTGTCACATGTGTTTTTGCCACTATCTTATAGCCATGGATGCACTAATCAAGGTTTTGAAGCGTATCTCCAACTTTCACCTGAGTCGTTTTGTTTGGAACAAAATTTTCTGGTTTTAGTGTTAAGATTGGAGAGACAAATTCATATCTTGATGACTTGATTATTACCCCAAGATTGGTTGGCTTTTGCATATGTAAATATGTATACACATATATATATATATATATATATTTATACAAAAAAATATACTAATGGAAAGAGTGAAATGACAGCATTAAACAACGTTAATTAGTTGGATCATTGTTTAAAAAGGGCGAGGTAGACCTAGCACTTAACAAAAATAACTGAGATTAAACGAGGATTAGTCAGAGACTATTATTAAAATTTTAGGATTATTTTCTTTAATTAAAGAAAATCATAAATATATGTTATTAAATGTATGTATAGTTCTATCGAGTTGAAAAAACACCAAATAAATTACAAAACTATAATATTGTTCTAAAAATTTCTATAAAAGACATGAAGATGAATTTTTAAAACAAAATTTTTAATGAGTTTCACTAAAATATAAATATAAATTATTGTTAAAGATCACAAACACCCAATCTAAATATTTGAAAGAAAAAAGAAAAAAAATGTATTTTATACAATCTAAAAATATGCAAGATTAGGCTGAGAGTAATAATTGTGTGACTATTTTTTTTAAGAGATTAGTCATTAATCGATGCAGATAAGGTGGGCCTAGCGATTAGGTAGAGACTAGAGAGTAATCGAACCTTGGATAGGATTTTTAGAACATGGAGTAGGATCAAGTTCTAATAATCAATTTAGTCATCAATATGTATTAATTAACTGTATACTTTCTAATTCCTAGTTAACTAATTCAATTTTCATACATTCTTTATTACTTAATATTAATAATGATGATGTAAACTTCAAAACAAATAATTAAATACTATTATTTTAAATTTATATAAAATTGTTACTCACAAAATATAAAAAAAAAGTGCTTTTAGAATCAAATTTAATTTCTTTTAAAAAAGTGTGAACATCTTAAACTTGGACTAGTTAGGAACAATATAAACTTTACAGATGTGAGACTAATTCTAGTTCGCTCAACATGAGTCCATTCTTGGATGCAAATTATTTTTCCTTCTAATAATCAAATCTTAAACTAGAGATTCAATTTAAGACCTTAAATTAAAAATTGATCGAACTTTAGAAATAATATGTCTTTTCTTTTTAAAATTTTTCTTTTTAAACATGAGAATTTTCCGCAAAATCACTTATCCTAATAGATTATTTTCTTCCAAACACATTTTAAATATGGAGTTCGGATGATATTTAATGCATTAGTGTTTGTATGATCGCATCCTAATTTAACGAAGCTAATTAGATGAAACTAAGAGTAGCATAACATGTGTTGTGGTTCTTAGTTGGATTTTAATTATCCAAACACAAAAATGAATCCCCAAGACTTAACAATCATGTGTACGTAAACAAAGCCAGAGACGACCACACATTTGCGTGACACATTGTTTATTAAACTTAAAAATTAGACACACCTACTCATGAACCTCGTGATTATATAATTCCTACCTGATCAATTACAACTTTATAACGTGACTGTCAAAACATAACATAATTAATTAATAACATATGCATCCAAAATACATATAATTATTTATTAATGGTAGAATACAAAATACTATAAACTCTAGAAATGTTTTCTCCACTTATGCTCCAGTTGTGTTACGTTGCGCACCACCACCGTGAACGCTCAAATTGTTGTTGCCGTCGGCTATAGAAGAAGCCAATTTGTTGTCATCGTCACTTTTACTTGTAATTGGCAATTCTTGGATACTACTACTCTTTCCAAGGCTATGATCTAATCCTGATACTTCATAGTCTTTTCCTTTTCCCCAAACAACCATATACAAACCCGCCGCGATCACTACCCCTCCTATTACACTGCAATGACATAAACCGAAAATATCGAAATCAAGAACGCGTATTTCGATTAGCAATTAGATGTTTTCGACATTTATGTAACGTTAACGTACCATCCAAAATGTATTTGTTCATGAAGAATGAAAGAAGCAAGGAGAGCTACAAGAACCATGCAAAGAGGGTTAAAGGCAGTAACAAAAACTGGCCCTCTTGTCTTCATAACCATTCCTTGAACGTAGTACGTTATACCCGAGCTTACTATTCCCTTTATTAAACCAAAATCTGGTTAGTATTTTTGTCTTAAGAGATTTATTTACGCGTAAAAATTTTTATACTTACCGTATAAAGAGGTGCGTAAAGCCTTGCGTCCCATCCAACAGCCCATCCACTAGCGTGTCGCTCCACCACAAGCGCGACGCCGAAGCTTTGGACAGCCCCGGCAAGGCATATTAAGGATGATAGTGAAAGATCGGCCGGATATGTCTTTATTGTTATGGACTGCGTTTCAAAATATATAAATGTTTTAAGTATCTTTGTAGCTAGTCAAGTTCACGAGAAAGATATCTCAAGAAGAAACGTAATGCAACAACTAACACAAAAGCTTATACTTTTGTATTATTTGTGGATTGATTAGTATATATTATGTATGATTATAAGAAAAAGGTAAGGAGCTTACTTGTAAAACATAGAAACCAGACCAAGCAACACAACCAACGAGTATCAATAAAGTTCCAACAACCCAATTGTTATGGTCTTGTGAACTATTGGTATGTCCGTTTTGTTGATTCATACTCGGGTTAGACCATGGTAAAGGAATAAGTGGACCTTTGTACAATGTCATTACCAATGCTCCTCCAAGACCAATCAATGTCCCAATTATCTTTGCTTTGCTTCTTATCTCTGCTAGATTCACTTTCTCCATTCTGTTCATATATATCAATGGTTATTATAACATTTAACTAGGTTTAGATTAATAAGTGTTTAAACCATGGATTACCTTAAAATCCAAGCTATTATGAATGTGACAGAAGGAAGAATGTTCATAATCGCAGATGTATATGTTGCTGATGTCATGTTCATCCCAAGGTAACCAAAACCTTGATCCAAGACTGGCCTATACACACATACCGATATGATAAGTATGTAATAAGGGTACTTGTCACTTTAAGACTTAAGAATGTGAAATGAGAAGATTGAATTGTTCTTACTCTAAGAAACCAAGTGCCATTATTTTCCAGAAAACTGAAAATGTCATCTTCGGTCTCACTTTCCTACAAAACATTTTCAGTTCTTGAAAGCTTAAAGATCGGTTTCTTGACAATCTTAGATGTTTTAGCAACAGTAAGAAACACTTTTAGTATAACAATTACAACATGGTAATTAAGAAACATTTTGTCATCATCATCAACAAATTAATAATATTTGTTTAACAAAAACAAAACATATAAGACTGACCTTTCAAAGATGAGTGCAAAAGGTGCAAGGACAAGAGCAGCCACAAGATTACGATACACAATTACAACGTAACGATTCTGGCCTTGGTTAAGAGTTGCCATAACCACAATATACGTACCTGCTGCTCCAAATTGCAAAAATATCATTAACAAATAAGGTCTACACTTATGCATAGTTGCACTTACACCCTCCATAGTTATATAACTTTAAGAACAGTTTTGTTCTATTTTGTTTTCTCTGTTATTGATGAAAGAGTATGATGATGAAACGGGTCTTCTTATATAAAAAAAAAAACCACAATCAAAAAGGTGATATAGAGTTTTGGATAACCATGAGAAACTTGTTTTTTTTTCATCCCTTGATCGAGAAGTATAAAGTATACAATTATATGATTATCTATCAGGACACGACCAATGAGGATACGTTATTATTGAATAAAGAAAGTTAAATAATTGCTGTTTTTTATTGGTATGGGTTCATATATCATATAATGCTTCTCTGATGATGCTTTTGCTATCACTATTATCTTGTTGCACACGTCATAGGCTCTTTTAGTTTTATTGTTTTTGTTAAAGTGTTTTTGGCCCAATTTGATTAACACGTAAACCTGAAAAATCTTACACGTCTAGTGTTAGCTACGTGTGTGTTTTGTTTTAGTGTCCGAACGTTTTTATGTTGAGATGTTCACATCACAAAGCACGTGGGAAGGACTTGGGGGTTTCGAGTATAAACCGCAGTTAGTTATTTATGTTTTGTCTTTTTCTTTGTAAGAAGTTATTTATGTTTTGTCTTTTTCTTTGTAAGAAAAGCAGATTAAATTATGATGTAATGTGAGATTGGGAGTGTTAAGCAGCCTAAGTTATTCCAATTTTTTGTTAATTACGGCTGATTCGTTTCATTTCGGTTCTTTTGGTAATTTTTCTAAACTTTTGTAATGTTTAAAATGATTACAAGTTAGATAATAGTTAGGAAATTCTCAAAAATGACATACTAAGCTTTGGTTTATCAAAAAGAGCACTTGTTTTAGTTTTTTCTTTTTTACATTTTAAATACCATTTAACTTTTGGTTTTTGCGAATTATCAAAAAACAAAAATCAAAACTAATCATAAACCCTGAACCGTACCTCTTAAAAATCTTATACCCCAAATATAAAGTAGAACACTAAACCTAAACATTTAAATTCTAAATTCTTGAAATTTTTGTGTTTAATTTGTTGTATATTTAGGTTTATTCGGTGTAGAGACACGGCGACCGAAAAAAAGTTTAATTGTTTTTTCATTTCTTTTTTTATTTCTCTTTCATCTTTCTTTTATTGTGTCACTTGCTTCTTTAATTACATGTCGCGAGAGAAATCGCACAATTATCAAAAGAACATGCTTTTAGAGAACCAAAATCTTTTTGTGGTAATTTTGAAACACCAATAGTGATATTTTTGGCAACTAATAAACTTAAAAGTATACAGTTTAAGAAATTTCTCAATTATTTAAATAAATCTTAAAACAGAACTTAACCTCAGTGTCATATATAGATTTATATATAACTTTCACCAAAATATCATTACATATTTACTAGTATAAATATTACAACGTAGAACAAATATTTTTCTCGGTTTTTCAAAAGAAGAGTAAAGTACTTTCTATAATAGAAGAAAAAGATAGAGAAGTTGGCTCTCATACCAAACGAGCTATAGACTCCAATGCATCAATATGTTTAGATGGCTATATGACTTGGACGGCTATAGACTTAGACGGCTATAGACTTGGACGGCTCTCATACCAAACAGGTTTGGACGTTTTTTACACTTGCAACCTATAGTGACATTTTTAAAAAATCTTAAACGATAAACCCTATCTCTTAAAATTTTTATACCCCATATCTAAAGTAGAACACTAAACCTAAAAAAAAAAATTCTATATTTTTGAAACTTTTTTTGTTATAATTTGTGGTATATTTTGAGAACCAAAATCTTTTTGTGGTAATTTTGAAACAGTATAAGTGGTATTTTTGGCAACTAAACTTATAACTATGTATGTTCAAAAAATTTCTCAATTATTAAAATAAAACTCAAAACAGAACTTAATCTCAATATCATAGATTTATATATAACTTTTACCAAAACATCATAACATATTTACTTATTTGGATACACAAAGAAGTATAAGTATTACAACATCGAAACGAATATATTTTTTTGTCAATATTAGGACACAACTGACCGGCTTATTAACCTAATTCCTACAAATATGTAGTGAGCGGATCTCGATTCTTGATATAATAGTACTTGACTACTTGTCCATCAATGGACTTATCATTTGCCACAAAACAACAAATACTTTTTTTGTTTCCTAAAGAAAAATTCGAGAAGTTGGCTTTCATACGGCTACACTCTTGCATGTAACCGGCGTAGCCAATGTATTTCCGACTTAAATTGACTCTCTTACGACAGAGAACATATATCATATGAAACCAAGGGCACTTGCAAGTTGCAACCTATAGTGACAAGTGCGAATGCAACCACCCTTTACTTACGGAACTAGAATATGTTTTCTTTATTAATTTAGTGATGGATCGATGTGTTTACGGCTAATCAAGTCAAAAAGTTGTCAACTAAATTATGACAATCACTTATCTAGTGCGCAATTTAGGGGAGCATAAGCGCATAAGGCTAATTTATCATGTCTTATATAGAACTAGAAGGATCCACATGCAATAGTATTGTTAAATATTATAGAATTATGACATAAAGATATTTACATATTTGTATTAGAATTTGAATTTTTTTTACAAAAACTCATAACAACTTTTATTAGATACAAACAAAATCATATAAAATCATTAAAACTCAAATTATTTAAAATAAAAGATTGAATAAAATGAGTTTTTAAAGTATTAATGTATGATATGTGTGGTGAGTAATATGTTATGAAATGTTCTAGATTGTATTAGAACCAAAAATGATTAGAAGTGTTGAGAGGATTGATATATTTATATTTTGTAGATCAACATCAAATCTTATTTTGTAATAAATTGCATGATTATCTCAAGCTCTTTTCCATTGAACATAATACCCAAATTCGATGTGAATCCTCTTAGTGCTTTAGTTAATTGGATACTAATTTATCCATTACATTTATTTAATGCTACTGTTATCCCGACAAACTACAAACAAATGTTTAGTAATGATGAAAGTCTATAAACTAAATAAAGTGTTTTCTTGAACTATGGCAAGCTTAGAGAGTATCTTTGCAAAACTAGAGTGTAACCTAAAAATCTAATAAAGTTATGGGATATAGTGCTCCACTTTGAAAACGTATATAGAATTCTCCACCCATTATTCATGATGATATCCTTAGGCTTGATTAAAAAAAAAAATCATTAAGAAAAGAATAATTATATTATATAGAGTTCTTATGCATAATTAATCATTGGAAGGTGAGAACAATGGTCATGTGTCTCACTGTGACCACTATGATAATAGTAGTGATCACTATGATACCAAATAAACATATATATATGGAGAATATGAGAAAAACAGTTGAAGAACATATTTCAATTTTTATGAAACATGTTGATTTTAGGATTGAACTGGATTTAGACTAACTTAATCTCTTTGATAATATTTCATTGGGACAGATTCATCAAAGACCTCATCAAATCGTCTTAAGTGTAGATTGTAGAAATATTCTTCTAGCAAACCTTTCATTGTCACGTCTATTAGGCAATCCTAGTCAGTAGTCACTTTCATTTTCTAATTTTACGTTTTAGTAAATATGGACTTCCAACTTAAAACCGATATGTTATATATTATCGGTAAATCTTTTCCGATATGAGATATATACTAATAAAATTAGGATTGATTTTGAAGTTTTTGTAATGTAAATAATCATAAGACTTAGTTTGTCGATGAATTGTTGTATATATAAATAAAAAAATAGAAAGTGAATGATGACTTAGTATTCAATTATCACAAAAATGAAGGAGCTAGTGGATACCTACTTGCAATTGAATCACAAATATGTTTGAAAAGAGTGGAGTTCCAAGTGTTCGTTCCCATCTCTTCATTTTCGCCTAACCACGTATGAATACTACTACTTGATGCTCACCACCACCATTAACCCATAATTTTCAATTTCATATATCTTTTTTTTCTGTTTTTCTTTTAGTTTTATGGATCTGCCCCCTGGAGCTAATGACACTTAAGATATGGGCTTCACTTAAAGATACTTTATTACTAGTACTTTTCTTTTATACGAAAAAGAAAGTAATCTGACAATTGCTTTGATATTTTCTTTGGATATATATTTTCTAGGGTTGGATTAAAGTTTATATTTGTGTTCCTCACCAATCTTTTAGTGAGGGTAAATTAGAGTTGAAAGTCATATTAAGTTTATACATGTTAAACCTGAGTTTTTTAGTTACTAGAAACAACTGACTTGGAAATGTATGCTGGAAAATAATAATGACCTAACATGGAAGTGAACTAATAGGTGGTGTCTGATTCCTAACCTCAGATCAAAAGACTGGTTTACATGCAAATGTATTGGTTTACATGGATTAGTACTGTTGTATTTTTTTGTTTGGATTAGACAACTAATCTAATAAGTCATGGTCGGATCAATTAATGGGCAATTATCATGTTACTGTACCTTTAACATATTTTTGGATTATGTATGTATAGAGGGATTAGAGGAAAAGTTTATCAGCAGTGTGAGAGTTCAGATTTTTTGGGTTTTCGGATTTAGACATCTAAGACTAGTTTCAATAGTTATATACTGATATTATATATGTTTTGGGTTATATTCCAACTTACTTAGTTTTATATTAGACCATCTCTACTAGAGTATCCCATATAAATTGTTTAAAGAAAAAAAAATTGAAAAAGAAAGAAATTGGGAAAAATAAACATCTTTTTATTCATCAACCAACCACCTTTAGGCACATGATGTTGCTTAATAGTTTCTTCCATCTGCTGAAAAACACTTCTTTATATATTGGGTCTTTCACAATATTTTTGCATTCAATTTTGGTCCACAAAAATACAGAGCAATCCAATTAGTACCACCGGTAGAGCTGGTCTTAGTAAGTTACTTTTGTTTTCCAGTTTCAAGATAACATCTAAGTCTATTATTCGTAATCTTTTGATTCCTAAATTGCAAACCGTCTAAGCATATGTTGCACTATAGTTGTAAAAATGTATTTTTCAAATATATTTAGATTAAAAAAAAAAGGTTCAACACTACCCTAAAATCATTTTATTTGCAGCCGCTTTCGTTTATACCAATTTCACTCG